TAATCGTCGGTAAAATAAATGCAATTATAGCAGTAACTTAAAAGTTGATAAAAATTAATTATGGATAAGGAAATAAATTCAAACTGCCCACATTGTCATAGAATTTACTGCTGAATCGTACAAGGTTTGCTTTATTATACTTATAAATCTATTAACAATAAACACTACAAAGCAAACACAATATCGAACAATAAACACTACAAAGCAAACTGATAATAACAAAAGTAAGAGAAATCTTAGTAAACGCGATTTTTATTTAACATTGATATACGTGTAATATTAAGACAAAATCCAAGGCCATAGTCCCTATAATATATAGTTGCTTTACTTTCACTTCAATGTGCAGTCAGTTACTACATGTACAGTATTTATACAGCCCACCATCGTTTCGTCATCCTGTTTAAGTATTAGGAAGGCTAGTACTGCGGGGGTTAAGATTCCGGAATGTGTAGGAGGAGTTGCATGAGGTAAACATTTCAGGAGTTTCTAATAAACTTATTACATCTTATTTTATTGATCAACTCATTGTAGTTCACCTTCCTTGGTGAAATGTTAATCGTCGGTAAACTAAATGCAATTATAGCACTAACTTAAAAATTGATAAAAATTGATTATGGATAAGGAAATAAATTCAAACTGCCCATATTGTCATAGAATTTACTGCTAAATCGTACAAGGTTTGCTTTATTATACTCATAAATCTATTATAGTCGAACAAAAGAGACTATAAAGGGAACTATAATAATAAAAAAAGTAAGAGAATTTTAGTAAACGTGATAATATTTATTTATTAATATTGAAATACGTAATATTCAAAGCCGTCAAATTTAGTCTTGCTTTGCTTACAATTACATGTGTATTGACTGTGGAAACTATGAAATTCAAAAGAAATGAATAATTATAAAGAGTTCAAATTTACATAGGAGAACTAAATGTCAGACAGGCTACGCCACTGCCATACTTCGCTACAGATTAAATATTAATGACAAAATCAGAGGCCATATATAAAGGCCTGGTAGGTATAGTCCCTAAATACAGTTTCTAGCTTTACTTCAATATGCACTCAGTAACTCGCATAGACTTAATAAAGTCCTCCTTACCATCTTCATCCTGTTTAACAACTATTATCACGGCTACTACTGCGGAGGTTCTGGGAAATGTAGGGGCTGAGGCGGGGGAGACTGGTTGGGTTGTGGGGAAGGAAAGTCGCCTCCTTGGTTGTAATAAGGAGGAGGGGGAGTATTGCAGACTGGCGGTGGCGGAGCGCTGGTATGACCTTGAGTATTTTCGACAGCAACAATAGCAATTGCGTTCTGGGAAGTAGGCTGTTCGACGACACGTCCACGTTGGAATGAGCCACGGAAACAACGATATGCGAGAATCCCGCCAAACACAGCTAAGAACAGTATCACGCCCACCACGATCACTGGGACAACCCAGGATGCAGTTGTAGAGGAATAGGAAGATCTCTTACATTTGTTGGAATGACATCTCTCCCCAGGCCCTCCACAATCACTGTCGTAGGAGCATTTTTCACCAACACAGGTTTTTCGACAAACGTTAACGTAGCTTCCTCGCTTACAACAATACTCCGAACTGGAGCATCCAGAATTCGATGAACACCGCGTGCAGCCTGAGGTGACGCATTTTCTATTAAGACAACATTCACTCCCACTACAATCACCGTCTGTAGAACACTCGACACATTTTTTGCTACTCGAATCACAACTCTCCTTAGGACCTCCACAATCACTGTCGTAGGAGCATTTTTCACCAACACAGGTTTTTCGACAAACGTTAACTCCTCGCTTACAACAATACTCCGAACTGGAGCATCCAGAATTCGATGAACACCGCGTACAGCCAGAGGTGACGCATTTGCTATTAAGACAACATTTATCACCACTACAATCACCGTCTGTAGAACACTCGACACATTTGGAACTGGAGTTACAACTTTCCCCAGGCCCTCCACAATCACTGTCGTAATGGCATGTTTCCCCAACGCAGCTTTTTCGACAAACGTTAACGTAGTATCCTCGCTTGCAACAATACTCCGAACTAAAGCATTCAGAATTCGATGAACACCGCGTACAGCCAGAGGTGACGCATTTGCTATTAAGACAACATTTATCACCACTACAATCACCGTCTGTAGAACACTCGACACATTTGGAACTGGAGTTACAACTTTCCCCAGGCCCTCCACAATCACTGTCGTAATGGCATGTTTCCCCAACGCAGCTTTTTCGACAAACGTTAACGTAGTATCCTCGCTTGCAACAATACTCCGAACTAAAGCATTCAGAATTCGATGAACACCGCGTACAGCCAGAGGTGACGCATTTGCTATTAAGACAACATTTATCACCACTACAATCACCGTCTGTAGAACACTCGACACATTTGGAACTGGAGTTACAACTTTCCCCAGGCCCTCCACAATCACCGTCGCCAAGGCATGTTTCCCCAACGCAGCTTTTTCGACAAACATTAACGTAGTATCCTCGCTTACAACAATACTCCGAACTGGAGCATCCAGAATTCGATGAACACGGCGTACAGCCTGAGGTGACGCATTTGCTATTAAGACAACATTCACTCCCACTACAATCACCGTCTGTAGAACAGGAGGTGGGCACGACACATTTATTGATGTTACAAGACTCTGACGGACCACCGCAGTCTGAACTGGATGCGCATGTCTCCCCAACGCAGCTTCGTCTGCAAACATGTTTATCGTAAGAATATCGCTGTTTACAACAATACTCTGAAGCACCGCAGTTGAAATTATAATAACAATTGCTACAGCCAAACGTGGTACACGATTTTGATTTACAACATTCGTCTTTCCCTCCGCAATCACCGTCTGTCAGGCAATAGCGACCGAAGCACGAACTACTACCGTAGTAGCAACTTTTAGTAGTTATCACATACCCCTGTCCACTATCTAATACTTTTCTGCAACAAACGTTGTTGCTGTAAGAGCTGCTCACACAATCAGAATTTGAATTGCACCTGGCAAAAACCAGGCCAAACTTTCCCATTATTATCGCTTTCGAAAGAAAAAATAAAGTCATATAGACGAACGACATCTTGTATGTGTCAATCACAAAACGTTATGAGACAAAACACTTCTTTGTCAGCGTACATGAGGAAGTCGTTGGGGACGATTGTGAGAGCACTGACCGTTACGACCACCCACTAATAATTTTTCGTAATGCTATGACCAGAGTTCTGTAAAATATTTCTACATTCATACAATAAGCCAGCTAAAGCGTGGCTTCCACGTACTTGCATGTAGTCGCAACTGTTGTGATCACATCAAACTGATGCAAACTATCGCACACTTTTCAAAGTAACATAAATTCGCGACAGTTGCAACTTAATAGGAAAGAGTTCATGCATGAAATCGGGTTTACAAAGATGAAGCCTCTCGTATACCTTAACCAACACTTTATAGGATACGACATAATTTGAAAAACCTACTAGAATTCTTAAAACAAACTTAGACTCGACAAACCGAAGTAAGAATGTACACTCGCTGTATTTATAATACGGTAAACATTTTACGAGATCTAATTTATATCATTTTCAAACTTTCATCTTTATCTATTTGGTCTATTTAAACACATTGTAGTTCACCTTTTTGGTAAAATGTTAATCGTCGGTAAACTAAATGAAATTATAGCACTAACTTAAAATTTGTGTGAAACTTATTAAGATTATGGAAACTAATTTAAACCGCCCACATTGTCATAGAATTTATTGCAAAATCATACAAGGTTCGCTTTTTTGTACTCAGAAATTTATTATAGTCGAACAATAAACACTACAAAGCGAACTAATAATAAGAAAAGTAAGAGAATCTTAGTAAACGGGATTTTTTTTAACATTAAACTACGTGTAATATTCAGTAACGTGACAAGCCTGACAATTTACTCCTGTTTTGCTAACTATTATTTTGATGTTCATTTCCTGTGGAAACAATGACTTTCTAAAGAAATGAATAATTATACAAATAATTAACGTTGAAATTTCCATGTAGCACAACTAAATCGTCAGGCCGGCTACGCAACTTCCATGCAAATTAAATATTAAAGACAAAATCAAAGGCCATAGTCTCTCTCTCTCTATATATATATATATATATAGTTGCTTTACTTTCACTTCAATGTGCAGTCAGTTACTACATGTACAGTCTTTATACAGCCCATCATCCTTTCGTCATCCTGTTTAACTATTACGAAGGCTAGTACTGCGGGGGTTAAGATTCCGGAATGTGTAGGAGGAGTTGAGGTAAACATTTTATTTTAGTAGTAAGAGAGAGAAATCTTAGTAAACCCGATTTTTATTTAACATTGAACTACGTGTAATATTAAGACAAAATCCAAGGCCATAGTCCCTATAATATATAGTTGCCTTACTTTCACTTCAATGTGCAGTCAGTTACTACATGTACAGTCTTTATACAGCCCATCATCCTTTCGTCATCCTGTTTAACTATTACGAAGGCTAGTACTGCGGGGGTTAAGATTCCGGAATGTGTAGGAGGAGTTGAGGTAAACATTTTATTTTAGTAGTAAGAGAGAGAAATCTTAGTAAACGCGATTTTTATTTAACATTGAACTACGTGTAATATTAAGACAAAATCCAAGGCCATAATCCCTATATATAGTTGCTTTACTTTCACTTCAATGTGCAGTCAGTTACTACATGTACAGTCTTTATACAGCCCTCCATCCTTTCGTCATCCTGTTTAACTATTACGACGGCCAGTAATGCGAAGGTTAAGATTCCGGAATGTGTAGGAGGAGTTGAGGTAAACATTTAAGGAATTTCTAATTAACTTATTACATCTTATTTTATTGATCAACTCATTGTAATTCATCTTCCTTGGTGAAATGTTAATCGTCGGTAAACTAAATGCAATTATAGCAGTAACTTAAAAATTGATAAAAATTGATAAAAATTGATTATCGATAAGGAAATAAATTCAAACTGCCCACATTGTCGTAGAATTTACTGCCAAATCGTACAAGGTTTTCTTTATTATACTCATAAATCTATTACAGTCGAACAAAAGAGACTATAAAGGGAACTAATAATAACAAAAGTAAGAGAATTTTAGTAAACGCGATATTATTTATTTCTTAATATTGAAATACGTAATATTCAAAGCCGTCAAATTTAGTCTTGCTTTGCTTACAATTACATGTATATTGACTGTGGAAACTATGAAATTCAAAGGAAATGAATAATTATAAAGAGTTCACATTTACATAGGAGAACTAAACGACAGACTGGCTACGCCACTGCCATACTTTGCTATAGATTAAATATTAATGACAAAATCAGAGGACATATATAAAGGCCTGGTAGGTATAGTCCCTAAATACAGTTTCTAGCTTTACTTCAATATGCATTCAGTAACTCGCATAGACTTAATAAAGTCCTCCTTACCATCTTCATCCTGTTTAACAACTATTACCCCGGCTACTACTACGGAGGTTCTGGGAAATGTAGGGGTTGAGGCAGGGGAAACTGGTTGGGTTGTGGGGAAGGAAAGTCTCCTCCCTGGTTGTAATGAGGAGGAGGGGGAGTATTGTAGACTGGTGGTGGTGGAGCGCTGGTATGACCTTGAGTATTCTCGACAGCAACAATAGCAATTGTGTTCTGGGAAGCAGGTTGTTCCACGACCCGCCCACGTTGGGCTGAGCCACGGAAACAACGATAAGCGGGAATCCCGCCAAATACGGCTAAGAACAGTATCACGCCCACCACGATCACTGGGACAACCCAGGATGCAGTTGTAGAGGAATAGGAAGATATCTTACATTTGTTGGAATGACATCTCTCCCCAGGCCCTCCACAATCACTGTCGTAGGAGCATTTTTCACCAAGACAGGTTTTTCGACAAACGTTAAGGTAGATTCCTCGCTTACAGCAAAGCTCCGAACTGGAGCATCCAGAATTCGATGAACACCGCGTGCAGCCTGAGATGACGCATGTGCTATTAAGACAACATTTATCACCACTGCAATCACCGTCTGTAGAACACTCGACACATTTTTTGCTACTCGAATCACAACTCTCTCCAGGACCTCCACAATCACTGTCGTAGGAGCATTTTTCCCCAACACAGCTTTTTCGACAAACGCTAGAACAGTAGCTTCCTCGCTTACAACAATACTCTGAACTGGAGCATCCAGAATTCGATGAACACCGCGTACAGCCAGAGGTGACGCATTTGTTATTAAGACAACATTCACTCCCACTACAATCACCGTCTGTAGAACACTCGACACATTTGGAGCTGGAATTACAACTTTCCCCAGGCCCTCCACAATCACTGTCGTAATGGCATGTTTCCCCAACGCAGCTTTTTCCACAAACGCTAGAATAGTAGCTTCCTCGCTTACAACAATACTCTGAACTGGAGCATCCAGAATTCGATGAACACCGCGTACAGCCTGAGGTGACGCATTTGTTATTAAGACAACACTCACTCCCACTACAATCACCGTTTGTAGAACACTCGACACATTTTTTGCTACTCGAATCACAAACTCCCCGCCCAGGCCCTCCACAATCACCGTCGTAGGAGCATTTTTCACCAACACAGCTTTTTCGACAAACGTTAACGTCGTAGTCTCCTCGCTTGCAACAATACTCCGAACTAGAGCATTCAGAATTCGATGAACAAGGGGTGCAGCCTGAGGTGACGCATTTGCTATTAAGACAACATTTACTCCCACTACAATCACCGTCCGTATAACACTCGACACATTTGTAATTGAAGTCACAATACTCTGACGAACCACCGCAGTCCGAACTGTAAAGGCATTTCTCCCCAACGCAGCTTCTTCTGCAAACATGTTTTTCGGAAGTATATAGCTGTTTGCAACAATACTCTGAAAAACCGCAGTTGGAATTAGAGTGACAATTGCTACAGCCTGACTTGGTACACTTCTTTGATTTACAACATTCGCCTTTCCCTCCGCAATCACCGTCTGCCAGGCAATAGCGACCGACGCATGAACTATTTCCGTAGTAGCATTCTGTAGTACTGAACACAAGATCGAGATACCTGTGAAACACTTTTCGGCAGCAAACATTGTTGCTGTAATAGCTGCTCACACAATCAGAATTTGACTTACATGAAGCCAAAACCAGGCCAAACTTTCCGATTATTATCGCATTCGAAAGCAAAATTAAAGTCATATAGACGAACGACATCTTGTATGTGTCAAGAACAAAACGTTGTGAGACAAAACACTTCTTTGTCAGCGTACATGAGGAAGTCGTTCGGGACGGTTGTGAGAGCACTGACCCTTACGACCACCCACTACCAATTCTTCTCAGTGCTATGACCACACTTCTGTAAACCATTTCTACATTCCCAGAAGAAGCCGGCTAAAGCGTGCATGGCCTCCACGTACTAGCGTCTGGTCGCAACTGTAGTGATCACATCAAACTGATGCAAACTATCGCACACTTTTCAAAATAACATAAATTCGCGACAGTTGGAACTAAATGGGAAAGAGTTCATGCATGAAATCGGGTTTATAAATATGAAGCCTCTCGTATACCTTAACCAACACTTTATAGGATACGATATACTGTAATTGGAAAAACCTACTAGAATTCTCACATCAAACTTAGACTCGCCAAACCGGGGTAAGAATGTACACTCGCTGTATTTATAATACGGTTAACTTTTTACGAGATCTAATTTATTTCATCTTCAAACTTTCATCTTTATCTACCTCATCTATTTAAACACATTGTAGTTCACCTTTTTGGTAAAATGTTAATCGTCGGTAAACTAAATGAAATTATAGCACTAACTTAAAATTTGTGTGAAACTTATTAAGATTATGGAAACTAATTTAAACCGCCCAGATTGTCATAGAATTTATTGCAAAATCATACAAGGTTCGCTTTTTTGTGCTCAGAAATCTATACTAGTCGAACAATAAACACTACAAAGGGAACTAATAATAAGAAAAGTAAGAGAATTTTAGTAAACGCGATTTTTTTTTAACATTGAACTACGTGTAATATTCAGTAACGTGACAAGCCTGACAATTTACTCCTGTTTTGCTAACTATTATTTTGATGTTCATTTCCTGTGGAAACATGCAATGACTTTCTAAAGAAATGAATAATTATACAAATAATTAACGTTGAAATTTCCATGTAGCAGAACTAAATCGTCACGCCGGCTACGCAACTTCCAGATTAAATATTAAAGACAAAATCAAAAGCCATAGTCTCTATATATAGTTGCTTTACTTTCACTTCAATGAGCAGTCAGTTACTACATGTACAGTCTTTATACAGCCCTCCATCCTTTCGTCATCCTGTTTAACTATTACGAAGGCTAGTACTGCGGAGGTTAAGATTCCGGAATGTGTAGGAGGAGTTGAGGTAAACATTTTAGGAATTTCTAATTAATTTATTACATCTTATTTTATTGATCAACTCATTGTAGTTCACCTTCCTTGGTGAAATGTTTATCGTCGGTAAACTAAATGCAATTATAGCAGTAACTTAAAAATTGATAAAAATTGATTATGGATCAGGAAATAAATTCAAACTGCCCACATTGTCATAGAATTTCCTGCTAAATCGTTCAAGGTTTGCTTTATTATACTCATAAATCTATTACAGTCGAACAAAAGAGACTATAAAGGGGACTAATAATAACAAAAGTAAGAGAATTTTAGTAAACGCGATATTATTTACTTCTTAATATTGAAATACGTAATATTCAAAGCCGTCAAATTTAGTCTTGCTTTGCTTACAATTACATGTTTATTGACTGTGGAAACTATATATGAAATTCAAAATAAATGAATAATTATAAAGAGTTCAAATTTACATAGGAGAACTAAATCTCAGACTGGCTTCGCCACTGCCATACTTTGCTATAGATTAAATATTAATGACAAAATCAGAGGCCATATATAAAGGCCTGGTAGGTATAGTCCCTAAATACAGTTTCACCATCGTTTTGTCATCCTGTTTAACTATTACGAAGGCTAGTACTGCGGGGGTTAAGATTCCGGAATGTGTAGGAGGAGTTGATGTAAACATTTTAGGAATTTCTAATTAATTTATTACATCTTATTTTATTGATCAACTCGTTGTAGTTCACCTTCCTTGGTGAAATGTTTATCGTCGGTAAACTAAATGCAATTATAGCAGTAACTTAAAAATTGATAAAAATTTATTATTGATAAGGAAATAAATTCAAACTGCCCACATTGTCATAGAATTTACTGCTAAATCGTACAAGGTTTGCTTTATTATACTCATAAATCTATTACAGTCGAACAAAAGAGACTATAAAGGAAACTAATAATAACAAAAGTAAGAGAATTTTAGTAAACGCGATATTATTTATTTCTTAATATTGAAATACGTAATATTCAAAGCCGTCAAATTTAGTCTTGCTTTGCTTACAATTACATGAAAATTGACTGTGGAAACTTTGAAATTCAAAAGAAATGAATAATTATAAAGAGTTCAAATTTACATAGGAGAACTAAATCTCAGACTGGCTACGCCACTGCCATACTTTGTTATAGATTAAATATTAATGACAAAATCAGAGGCCATATATAAAGGCCTGGTAGGTATAGTCCCTAAATACAGTTTCACCATCGTTTTGTCATCCTGTTTACCTATTACGAAGGCTAGTACTGCGGGGGTTAAGATTCCGGAATGTGTAGGAGGAGTTGAGGTAAACATTTTAGGAATTTCTAATTAATTTATTACATCTTATTTTATTGATCAACTCATTGTAGTTCACCTTCTTTGGTGAAAAGTTTATCGTCGGTAAACTAAATGCAATTATAGCAGTAACTTAAAAATTGATAAAAATTGATTATGGATAAGGAAATAAATTTAAACTGCCCACATTGTCATAGAATTTACTGCTAAATCGTACAAGGTTTGCTTTATTATACTCATAAATCTATTATAGTCGAACAATAAACACTACAAAGCGAACTAATAATAACAAAAGTAAGAGAAATCTTAGTAAACGCGATTTTTTTAACATTAAACTACGTGTAATATTCAGTAGCGCTAGCGTGACAAGCCTGACAATTTACTCCTGCTTTGCTAACAATTATTTTGATGTTCATTTACTGTGGAAACAATGAATTTCTAAAGAAATGAATAATTACAAATAATTGACGTTGAAATTTGCATGTAGCAGAACTAAATCGTCAGGCCGGCTAAGCAACTGCCATATCAAATATATTAAAGACAAAATCAAAGGCCATAGTCTCTATATATAGTTGCTTTACTTTCACTTCAATGTGCAGTCAGTTACTACATGTACAGTCTTTATACAGCCCAACATCCATTCGTCATCCTGTTTAACTATTACGAAGGCTAGTACTGCGGGGGTTAAGATTCCGGAATGTGTAGGAGGAGTTGAGGTAAACATTTTAGGAATTTCTAATTAATTTATTACATCTTATTTTATTGATCAACTCATTGTAGTTCACCTTCTTTGGTGAAATGTTAATCTTCGGTAAACTATTAATGCAATTATAGCAGTAACTTAAAAATTGATAAAAATTGATTATGGATAAGGAAATAAATTCAAACTGCCCACATTGTCATAGAATTTACTGCTAAATCGTACAAGGTTTGCTTTATTATACTCATAAATCTATTATAGTCGAACAAAAGAGACTATAAAGGGAACTAATAATAACAAAAGTAAGAGAATTTTAGTAAACGCGATACTATTTATTTCTTAATATTGAAATACGTAATATTCAAAGCCATCAAATTTAGTCTTGCTTTGCTTACAATTACATGTATATTGACTGTGGAAACTTTGAAATTCAAAAGAAATGAATAATTATAAAGAGTTCAAATTTACATAGGAGAACTAAATCTCAGACTGGCTTCGCCACTGCCATACTTTGCTATAGATTAAATATTAATGACAAAATCAGAGGCCATATATAAAGGCCTGGTAGGTATAGTCCCTAAATACAGTTTCACCATCGTTTTGTCATCCTGTTTAACTATTACGAAGGCTAGTACTGCGGAGGTTAAGATTCCGGAATGTGTAGGAGGAGTTGAGGTAAACATTTTAGGAATTTCTAATTAATTTATTACATCTTATTTTATTGATCAACTCATTGTAGTTCACCTTCCTTGGTGAAATGTTTATCGTCGGTAAACTAAATGCAATTATAGCAGTAACTTAAAAATTGATAAGAATTGATAAAAATTGATAAAAATTGATAAAAATTGATTATGGATAAGGAAATAAATTCAATCCGCCCACATTGTCATAGAATTTATTGCAAAATCATACAAGGTTCGCTTTTTTGTACTCAGAAATCTATTATAGTCGAAAAATAAACACTACAAAGGGAACTAATAATAACAAAAGTAAGAGAATCTTAGTAAACGCGATATTATTTTATTTTTTAACATTAAACTACGGGTAATATTCACTAGCGTGACAAGCCTGACAATTTACTCCTGCTTTGCCAACATTTATTTTGATGTTCATTTACTGTGGAAACAATGATTTTCTGAAGAAATGAATAATTACAAATAATAAACGTTGAAATTTGCATGTAGCAGAACTATTTAGTCAGGCCGGCTACGCAACTTCCAGATAAAATATTAAATACAAAACCAAAGGCTATAGTCCCTATACATATTTGCATTACTTTCACTTCAATGTGAAGTCAGTTACTACATGTACAGTCTTTATACAGCCCACCATCGTTTCGTCATCCTGTTTAAGTATTAGGAAGGCTAGTACTGCGGGGGTTAAGATTCCGGAATGTGTAGGAGGAATTGAGGTAAAAATTTCAGGAGTTTCTAATTAATTTATTACATCTTATTTTATTGATCAACTCATTGTAATTCACCTTCTTTGGTGAAATGTTAATCGTCGGTAAACTAAATGCAATTATAGCAGTAACTTAAAAATTGATAAAAATTGATTATGGATAAGGAAATAAATTCAAACTGCCCACATTGTCATAGAATTTACTGCTAAATCGTACAAGGTTTGCTTTATTATACTCATAAATCTATTATAGTCGAACAATAAACACTACAAAGCGAACTAATAATAACAAAAGTAAGAGAAATATTAGTAAACGCGATTTTTTTTAACATTAAACTACGTGTAATATTCAGTAGCGCTAGCGTGACAAGCCTGACAATTTACTCCTGCTTTGCTAACAATTATTTTGATGTTCATTTACTGT